TTCCCATGGTTTTCCCCAGGTTGTACCTTCGCATGTTTTAACTCGAGGTGAGTTCCTTTTTGCTGTATTAAATTATATCATTATTACTTCACTTTAAAATGTCGAATGTTACAATAAAGTTAGTGGTTGGTGGTTCCCAAACATGTCATTATGTATCATACAATTACATTTATATTTATAATTAGGAAATGCTTGTTCTTATTCAGTTCATAAGTTATTCCTCTTGTATCTGTTTTCCAAGACACTAGAGCATGCACTGGGGGTCCTACCTGTAGTAAGTGCTAAGTGCTCTTTCCATTCACAGATATCAGATTAATGACTAAGGATCATATTTTATATTTAATATCTTAGATGACTTAGTTCTGGTATCCCAAAATTGTGGACATATTGTTTTTATCTTTGAGACTTTGTAACTTTCAATATTTCCAGGAATTTCAGAATACACGTGGGTTGCATCACCACAAGAAATAAGTCAACTTAAGCAAGGTTTGGTATCCATTTTCAATAGGAAGTTGACCGACACAAAACAGGTACTTGAACAAATACATTATGTGATCAACAGGTTTGTTGTTATCACTGAAATTTTATTACAAAGAAAATGTAATATACATATTAATTATTTACAGGATCAGCCTGCTTCTAACAAGGGATTTGTTGAGGCTCTCCTCCGAAGGATAAAAAGACTTATACAGTTTGTTCCAGTCAATTAGAAAATGGACCTTTATATTATGAAGAACTTCCTGAAACAAAGTATTCTGTCTTTTGGGCATACATTGTCCAGATTTTTAACCACTCCTGTTGATGGTTATGACATCTGGTGTGGATGAGGTATATAAAGATGTCTTCTGTACCTTAATGCAAAAGTATCATATTCTGCAGTTTTTAAGTAATTTGTAAAAAAAATTAAATACAGATTAATGTATGAAATCCCATAGAGTGCTAATTTTTTTAATCAAACCTATCATGCATTTTCTTATTACTGTGTAGTAATGAGTTTTGAAATATTCATTCAGTGTTTGTTCGGTTGAACCTGTACTTTAAAAGTGAATTGTAACATGTCAATTGAAGGTACAGTGTTTTCAGAATGTAAGTTACATGTGAAAGAAAAGGTACCCAGTGGATAAGGGGGCAATAGAAATGCTGTTGGTGATGTTCACTGGTGTTAGGTTAATATGGGAATGTTATTTTCTTCTTCAGTTAATTCAAGCAGACAGACATATATAGATGGACAAAAGCTTCAGTTAGGGAAACAAGAACCAGTAAACTTGATTGAACAAACTGTAGTAATAACAGGTCTTTTATTGATATTTTCTAATAATATCCTGGTCAAGTTTGTGTACTGTAGAGGAACAGTTACAAGCAGCTTTTCATGCAGAGAGGTGGGCAGTACACATGAAGCTCTGTTACATATTTAATACATATATTATAGTAGAAGAAATCTTAGGTGATGGAAGAACTGGAAATACTTGCAGTATGAACAGGTAAGTAAAATATTATTTGACACAATCTCTGTATAATTCTCAGAATATCACAATTAGGACAGGTTGGCCACAGATTTTTAATTATACTATCTCATACTGCATACAAAACATAATAATGGTGTGTGACTACTTTTATCCTCTTACTTGTCTGCCTATTTCAATGTAATGTATTAAGACCTGTGTATAATCACTAACAAAAGTAAAGTACAAATAAATAATACAGAAAACAAATATATTTATAGGGGTGCTTGAGAATACTAACATCTTTTGGTTTCAAGAAAGATGGGGAATTTCTGAACTAGATGAGTGACAATAACTTCTTAAGAATAGTTAGTTATAAATTTATACTTGTACTTTTCCTTCAACAGTATATGGAGGTCTTTTGTGAAGGGTAATGGATATGCTCTATCTCCAACTTCTGAATCAATTACTCATGCTCAATGCAAGCACATGCATTAGGCCATATCAGTTTAAAACAGCAGGCACTTCCTTCAGTAAAAACACTTCATAGTATTGGTATATGGTTTCTATGCACTGAAAAATTGGTATATACCTACAAGTCCACATGATGTTAGATATCTTACATTTCTGTATCATGTACTATTGCTTCATCCCATGGTCCATATATATTTTCTTTACAGTTCTGCCACCTTAAAAACCAAACTGGGCATAACACCGTAACAAAAAGTGTGATACACACACATAGTACCATCATAATTAGTGACACTGTCCATAATACATAAACTGCTATAGCTATCATGGCAGTGAGTACAATGACAGATCCCCTGCCTTTGGATAATAAAATGGGTAACAGAACAAAACATTCTACTGCGTTAGTTAGCAAAACAAAGGCATGGAAGGGTGATGCCAGCCGTGAAGCTAAACATACTGAACCAAATATTGCAGCATTAAGAGACAGTGAACTAGAAACTATGGCTGCTGGCACTCCATAATCAAAAAAGATTAGGTGTATTATCATCATAAATGATGCTGTTGCATATATTGTGTCTGTACTAATTGTATCTGTTAATGTTTTTAATACAGGTGACAAAATATAACCAAAAACAACAAATATTAGAACAGTCCGCAGATCCTTAACCAGGGCTTCATAATAATTCTTTTTTGTTAATACAATCCGATACAGAAGATAACCTATAGTTGCAACCAAACTACTCTGCACAATTACTGTTTCTGGTTCAATCCAACCATTGTACAAGTATACATATATAATCACGAAGAAAATCACGATAGAGATTTCTTGGGTGACAAGTCCAGCTCCAAGAACAGCACTTCGAGGGGAAATTTCTGTGATATGCACATTTTTCTTTAATTCTTCTAGAAATGTCTTATCTGTGTAATTATCTGGATAGTCCACATTTTCATACAAGTTCTTCTTCCACGTTTGTTGTTTTTGTGTCATGGCGTTTCGTATGACTAATTATAAATTGAACTTAAAACCTAACTCTAACTATATTATGCGTTTTTTCCCATACTGTTATCTTCATGATTACCGCATGTCAACGTCTTGCTTCAGAATGCCCTTTGCCGTACTAAACGTCTCATGTTATGACGTTTAACTGTGGAAACAGGAACTGGAAATTCAACACAAATACCGACAAATATTAGTGACAAGAAGGAATTATCAGGGAATGTTGGCGTCAGTCAGTTGCATATATAATATTTGTCTATTATTTTCTATCCACAAAATGGTAATACCCTTCTAAGCTTTCATTAAATGAATTGCTACTTGCCAACTCAGTCGAAGAGTGCTATCGTGGTCGAATGAAAGATTGTATGTTTTTATAAGTGAAATGCTGTAAGCAAAGTAAAACCGACAGGTCTAAAGGTCAAAATTTAGGACGTATTGTATATCTGATTAAGGTTTGTGCAATTTATAGTTCTTTATGTCTCTGCATTTCACTACTGTCGTATTTTCGGAAATTTTGAACATATACATTGGCAGTTCATTTACTGGCTATTGGTTACACTACCCCTAATAATCATCACTTTGTAAGATATTACAGTTTTAATGTATCTAGAACGTTGTTATTTAATGTTTTCAGAATTAATTTAAACAACTGACTACAAATTTTGAAATATCTTATATTAGTCGGCAGTTTAATTTAATTTGTTTCATCTTTCATCATCTGCTGAACGTGGTGGCTCCAGAGGATACTCTGTATCCTGTTCGTTTGTAACTAACCATCTGCCCCACACCAGTATTTCTGCTTTATAGAATTATGTCACTGTAAAGTTGCCAGGTTTTGTGAAATCTTGTATGAAAGTTTGGATGTCCCATGCTGTCATCTATATATTTAATAATTAGTACTTGCTGATAATATTATAGTTACCATGTAAATAAATGAATTCAAAACACCCAATTATCCCTGAAGAAGAGTTTTCCACCTTAGTAACTCAGTTCTTTAATGGCATTGTTTTAGTTCTATCTGATTAATACATTTTGTGAGGTGGAAGTAAGGTACCAATATGCCTGGCTGTAAGTTGAACCTACGTGAGCAGTTGGAAGATAATGAGCTGGATCTTAGCATGTCCGAAATAGAAGAAGTCCCAGTGCGAGAGATTGTGAGTTGGAATTAAAAACTTCTGTGGTATTATACAGTAATTTATTTTTTTACACTGGTTTGGAGAGTGATACTGTCTGATATTTTTAGTGATTCATAATGGAGTATGCCTGTTGTTACTTGGACTTGCACTTGATGAATCATGACTCTTATGATCAAGATGTGACTATAACAAGATCATTAAATATATTCATGAATTCCCAGTCCTAAAGTAACATTTAACACTATTTGTTTGTTTGCATACAGAATTTTGATTGATCTAATAAATCTTCCAAGGTTTCCAAAAGTCCAAAAACTGTGGTTATCAGAAGAAAAATTGTAGAATTCATTTACACCTTGTAGGCTCCAAGAGATACAACAAAATGAAAAAAATTAATTCCTCTATTAGGCATGACATAATATGAAATATTTTGAGAGGTAATTTATTTTGTTCTGCCAGGGTAGAATTATTCAAGGAGAATGAATCATTCCTTAGCTCAAGGTTCAACATATTCAGGTGCAAAGTTCCTGTACCAGTGCTACTTAAATTTCTCAGTTTTGCCCAAAGTTTTTCTGTATTAATATTAATTAATTAATTTTAAAAGTGTGCTTTGTAGTTCTGATTCAGTCATACAGATTGTAAAATAACTTTGCTGCTGATGAAACAGGATGCCTTTCTGTTCAAACTGCATGAGCAATCAGTAGAAAAGTGTGGAATGTTGTGATTGGCATAACTAGTGATTTAAAATCAATTGCAGCCAGTATACATGTGTTGCATGAAACTGCTTTTATGAAAGGTTTCTTTAACACCTTGCTCCAAATGATGCTTTGTGCATATGCTTAAATCAAGAAGTCAGAATCTGTTGATTTTGCTACATATTGCACACGCTTTGATAAAAAGTATAGGCTTGTTAGTATATCTTGTTATAGGGAGATTTCTAGACATATGTAACCACTAACTATAAAATAATTTATGTACTGTATGCATTCTTTGTTGCAGATGATTTGGAGTTCTGTTTGTAAATATATCTAGTCATTTCCAGCCCTTTTGTGAATTAGTAACCATTTTTTAAAAATAGCTGAACTTCTGAACTATATAAGTGTATTTCCTTAATTTCTATGTCTGTATTGCTTGTTTTGAGTTATGCATAGACACATTTTTATTTTTTATGATTGTTTTGCAGTCACAGATCAAGAAAGCTACAAGTCTGGATTTGTCTAACAATCAAGTGAAGACCCTTGGGGTATGTACAGTACTTGAATAAGGTTTGCTGGATAATAAAGGGTGATTGTAGAATTTTGACAACCATGTACAATGATTTATGACTTATATTCAGTTACATAAATATCACATAAAAATTCTGTCATATTTTAAATCAGTAGAAAAAATAGGGATATTATATAAAAATTGTTAATGATAATCGACAGAGATTAGTGACACTCGCGGCATCAGAATATCTATGTAATTGTCAAAGGCACAACATTTGAACATTGTGTTATAAAATAACTGCTCCTCTTCTCTGTCCCTAAAAGAGGACATATTCTAATTAGTGCTGCTTTTGTCTTTTCCATGTTAGCATTTTGTTTGTAGTGTCCACAAGTTCATACATCTTCATGTATTTTATAGTCATGATCTGCGAGGTTGCAATGAATCATTCTGTATAATCTCTCTTTTATGTAAGATGCAGAATATTCTTTCCTTTGCAGCATAATTTTGCACCATTGCTTACACATTTGATAAAACTGGACTTAAGCAAGAATCATTTGACTGAGTTACCAATTAACTTTGGGGAATTGGTCAACCTTCGGCACTTGGATCTGTACAGCAATCAGGTACTTTGGCTTAGATATGAAGGGCTGGAATTATGTTTATAGTTATGACTGTTTTGGCTTTCGTAACAGTGCTGTAATAAAGACAGTAAAGAATGCCAGAGATCAACTTTGAACTTGTGCAAGGCAACACACAACTGCCATATCTCGGATGTAAGTTTTCTCATTATCAGAAGTAAATATGATGGAAGAGAGAGAGAAAAAAATACAAGGGCAAAAATTGCAAGGAATTTAGCAAAGGTCAGTGATCTAAATGATGCTTCAAGCAACCATTGTTCATTGGTGATGCAATCTTTCATGATCTTATTCATCATAACGCTGCTAATGCAGCTTTTCTAACAATGCTGGCAGTATTAAAACCTCCACTAAATTGTCATATGTAAATGTTGTTGGTAATTGTGCTAAGTAACATTTCCTTACAGCAGGCTTCAGCAAATGGTAGTTATTTGCATAAATATTGTAGGATATTTAAATTTTGCTGGGAATCTTTTCCCATTAGTAAAGATGCCAGAGCATGAAGTTCACCACTTCCATCTAGTGCTGATGTTTAAAATGTATAGAATCATATCTGCACACTTCATGCTGTAAGGCTTAAATGTGGACAACTAAACTTTTTATTTTACTTGAAAGTCATGTCTCTAAGGACAGTTGTGTTTTAAATATCCATGTTGTAAAGTTACAATGATCCAATACTTTACTCTTAGTTCTCACATCTTATGTTTAGTCTAATTTTATTTTAAACATATTTTACTAATGATGCACTTATTATATATAGAATATAATTTTAGAAATCATTGATACAGATGTGCATGATTGATAGATAAAACATCTGCCCTTGAGCTTGGGACAACTCAAGATGTTACGATGGCTGGACTTGAAGAGTAATCCTCTGGTGCCAAAGTTGGCTGAGGTAGTTGGGCCCTGCCTGGATGCACAACAGTGCCAGCAGAGTGCCCGCAATGTGGTGACCTTCATGCAGACTATGCAGGTTCAGGTAGATGAGGAAAGGCAGCGCATATTGCTCCAGAAGCGCAAAGAACAAGGTGTGATATTTACCAAAATTTAAAGAATATAATTCCTAAGGTGTGCAGTTACATTAATTGTGAAGTATAATTGTTTATATTTCAAATTAGGCATTCCAGGTGATATTTGAAACTAAAATTAAAAAATGTAATTCCTATTAAGGTCATTTTATGAAATTTTTAGAAAAGGTTACACATAGAAGCATGTCAGTACAAAATACATAGGATAATAACATTGTGCACAATGAAACTGAATTTTCTTCTACACATAATAAAGCAGCTTGTGGCAAATACTGAAAAATATAACAGTTTATATATCTATTTCTTCTGAATCAAGTTTGTAAATTAATTCTCCACCCCTCTTTTCTTCTTCTTCTTCCTGAGTTACTGGTTAATCATTAAAATTGTGAAAATTACCCCAAATTGTAGGATTTCAGGTTTTCACAGAGGCGAGTCTGAAGATTGCTGTCTTCTTTAGCCCAAATTGCTTTATGATTTGAGCCAATGACACATTTGAAAGATGACTTTTATATGTGTACTCAGGTTTGGACCATAATTTTAAAATAGAAAACTGGATGGACAAGAGCTTTTGAGTTGCTTTGGTATTTCATCATAGCCTATTGTTTGTTTTAATAGAATTGGCTGAACAAGCACAGAAGAAGGAACAGCAGCAGAAGCAGCAGCAACAGTCTCAGAAGAACAAGAACAAGAAGAAGAAGAAGAAGGCTGCTAAATCTAACAGCGGTATTCAGGTGAAGACTGAGAATGGGACAACTAATGTGACAGGAGATGATGAAAATGTTTGTAACTTGGAGAAAGTGGCTCCAAAACAACATACCTGCACCCACAGCAAACCTGTCAGAAAAGGTAAATGTCTAACCCATTCAGCTCTTTTTATGATTTCAGGTCACAGACACTTACATGATCTTAAAATCCTATGATAAGCTGTTGTTGTGGCATGTGTCATCCATATAGGTACTTGTATTTGATTCATTCATAGATGTCTCCCAAATATGCATTTATGAACAGTACAAACATGACTTCAAAATCCTCTGCTTCTGATGCTAACTCATGGACATTGTGAAGCCATTTTATTGCATAAAATGTTTTGGTAGGCAGTCAATCATATCTGTGAATCTAGAGCAGGGGTCGTCAATCTTTTTATACCTACCGCCCATTTTTGTATCTTTATTGATGGTAAAATTTCCTTACCGCCCACCGGTGCCGCACGTACTGCCCACCACCATGAAAGAGGTACAGCTCGAAGACTGATTGATGGCCGGTGATAAGCCCCGTTCTCGTTATTCGCACTAAACTCATGCCTTAGGCTACGGAGCTCATTGGTTGCTCCCTCGTCCACGAGTATACTTCGAGAAGCGTCCGGTGAATTATTGTCTATATTAAAAAAAATTAGAGATGGAATTCAAAGTAAATTGCAAAAGCATATTTTAAAAAGTCAAACTCGCGAAGTTGTTAGCAATGTATTCGATATATTGAGGAAGAACAGAATTTTGTAACAACGGACAAAAATACCCACCGCCCACCATGAAAGCTTGAATCGCCCACTAGTGGGCGGTAGGGACCGGGTTGACGACCCCTGATCTAGAGGGTCATTTAAATCAGAGGTGATGTATGAAATCAGTCATTAACAAATAGAAGTGTCACCAAACCCTGTAAATGATAGCATCAGGCATAAAATCTATGGCAAACAAAGTCTGTGAGAAATGTTTTTTGTTGTTCCATGGCACGTGATCTGTGGCACTATGTAAACTATTTTTTGTGGAACTTTAATAAAATATAATATAGTAAATGAAATGGACATATTAAATAGAAGATTCTTTAATGTACTATGTCTTTGTTTTTGTTTTCTTTTTAGTGACACTACTGATATTTAGAATATTTAAGTCTATGTTGCTTGGGTCATTTATTACGTCACTGGCACTGTGGCTATTGTATCTCATTGACGAAGAAAGATTCCGTGGAGCACAAGCACATGCAGAGAGTATATGGAATGTAACCATGGCAGCCATGCCTCAGCAGGTTATTGAAACAGGTCAAAACTTAAAAAAAATGACAACACCAACTATAGCATTTGTCTGGAGCAAAACTGAAGCTGCTTACATATGGATAAACACAAATCCAACAGTTAAAGAATACTATGAAGTTGGCGGAGCTTTATGGAAGGTACTGTTTTCAAAAGTAAGTGATTTGTATCGGGACATTGAACCAACAAATTCCACTTTAAGTGGAAACAGTAAAGAATGATATATTTTAAGAATGTTTTTTTGTTATAAGTAACTGTGAATAGCATTTGCACAGTTATATATAAAAACAAATTAAATTACATGTTGTATGTCTTGTTTTGCAACATTCCTTTTTGACAAAACATTTATTTGATTGTATGTAATATTTTGCTGCTGTTTTAATCTCGTGTATTACATAATGCTAAAACTTTTCAAAAATCTGCATTTATACATTATATGAGTTCATAAAATATTTGTGAATTTAAAAGGCTACCATAAATATCAGGTCCCTAATACTAATGAAACAGTTTGGAATAACAGATGTTTGCACATCTAAAAATATAGCAAAAATGGATTTACTTGAACTTATTTTGTACTATGACTCTGTGCATGGTTTTCTGTAAGCTTGCAAGATTTGTCAGTCCATAGTTTATCATCAGTATATATTGCATTCATTCTTGCTTCTGTGATACAACATGCACAAGTGCTTGTGGAGGATCTGAGGAAGGCTGGATAAGGCTGGGGCCACACGGCCGTACAAAGTACGTCCGTTGTAACGCACATCGTTACGCCCGTCATAGAATTATGAAGGGGCAAGACCACAGAACGCAATGGCTTCTTCTGGCTCCGTTGGGGCAATTGACGCATCACACTGTGCTCGCGTGGTGTCCTCACCTACGTCCATACAAACGTACGTCCGTTTCAACGGACATACTTTGTACGGTCGTGTGGCCAGGGTCTAAAATGTCGAGTTGAACAGGTTGTGTCATCTTGTGTAAACTCAGTTCAGACTGTACTAACTACTCTGAAACCATGGTACAGAAGTTATGATGACTTGGCTAAAGAAGAAAATAGCAGCTTTTTGCAAATGAGTTTTTTGTGCCCTCCAACATTCAGAACTCATAATTCCACATTTTTTCTGAAGAAAATCACACATTTCTGTCTAGACCAATCAGTACACTGTATGATAAGATTTTAAAAATAGCTAATTTGCTTAGTCACAGAGATTTTACTTAACAGTCAGATATAATACAATTAAAATTATGTATTATTGATTTTTTTATGTACCAGATGCAGCACTTTTTTCTTTCATAAAATAAAACTCTTACTAAGAATTGATCAATACTGTGTTGTTGTTATCATTTATTTATTTTCCTATCTGCATGTGCTCTAAATAGTCTCTGAAACTTGGGAGGCATTTTATTCATACAACTTATACATGTGCCAATTCCTGGTTTTTCACATTAATTTGGCTGGCGTTTCTGTACACAGTAATGAACAGTAAACCTTCGGCTCCTACGAAAGTGACGCATTTTTAGACTACTTGAGCGAACTGTCAGATTCTCAACGATTTCGATCCTTGGTGTTGATTACGAATACTATCGTTCGATTGCTGTCAATCGTATTTGATCCGAAAAAGAGCTATGGAACATATTCGATAATAAGAATTATTCGATTATGACCAATAATTCAGATTACACGATTTATATTCACTGGCATAGTATCGATGGATTGTTAATCGCAGTCAGTGCAGTATTTGCTAATAGATGGCAGTCATTTTAAGAGTTGCAGTGTGATCAACATGTGCAGTAGTGAAGTAGAGATAGAGGTGAAATGGGGTTGAGTGTGTTCGTTTCTCGAACATCAAAGTACAAGACTTCTCACAGGAGACAGTAGCATACGCCACTTATCAAAGGTAGGTGTAATTTGTAAAATATTGGTATTCTATTAGAAAATGCCATAGCTTAAGTACGTGCACTTTGCCGTGAATAATGAAATATGGGAACTAGGAATACCAATGCTGCCAACGTTTGAGTAGTAAAATGTACACCATTCGTCTCCTACTACAGTTATGCCACGTGTGATGGCAGACAAAAGTTGTCAATATGAACATTTACAACTAAACAACAGATATAGTAATAGTGTAAATGAAGCATCTGTTTAACCCTCTGAAGCAAATAACACTATCTACGGTCGCCAATTTTTACTTATTTTTAAGTTATAAGTGTATCAACAGATTCGTTCCTTAATGTAGTAACGGTAAAATTGCCCGACAGTATTAGCATTAGGCCGTGAAGACATAAGGAAAGTGGAAGTATAGCTTCACTTATTCGTAATCTCAAATCTAGATGTTGGTATTATCTGTGGTCTAGATGGAGGTGATCGAATGCTCAAGTTCACGGTCCAGCCACTGCGAACAGGAGGGTGAGTGGTCTCTGACTCGGTCTGGAGGTGGTGCGAAGATAAAAGTTCTTACCCTGCCAGCAATCGAACCCCACTCTCCTGCCCTAGGATAGAAAGAACGAAAAGAATAACAATGTATTGTAGGCCTACATGTGTGGCATTAATTTATTACTTATGATTTGGATCATAAATACCTAGATGAAATATGTTTTGTGCAGTTTAAGGAGACATGTGTCCTTATGTTAATGAAATCCCGCCTGAAACGGAAATATACATGTTCAAATCCCTTGGTATTCTATTACATGGAAGTATTACTGTAGTATTGTGCGTTGAATTTGCTCGGCACAGTTAGCGTGGAATGAAATTAAGTTCATCGTGCATTGCATAAGCTGGACATGGGCACGAGACCTTTAACTACAGAGTACAGCAATTCCAATCGCATTGTAAAGAACTGCTAAAATTTTGCATACATTTTAGTTAAGAAACTCGAAAGAAAGAGATCAGTTGTACGTCCTGGTTGTAGATGTGCGATATTATTAAGGTGGATCTTAAGTAAGGCGTGAGGGTGTGGTCTGGATTTATATTTGCTTCAGGATGGGGACAGGTGGCGGGCTGTTGTTAAAATGGCACTGGACTTCCATGTTCCATGAAAGACGGAAAATTTCTGATTTGCTGAGTGACTTACAGCCTCTCAAGACGGACTCTATTCCATGGAAAATGGAAGTTCATGAAATAATCTGCGCCGTACGGAAACATGGCGTGGGCAGCAACTGCTGTAAAAGGTCATTCCCCGAAACGTAATCGTTTACGCTTTATTTTTGCCGCCAGAAGGAGATCAGACATTTATTGTCCTTCACACTCAGTCGGTTGGCAACTCTAGGACGCCAAAAATCGATAATACCCCTCACGAACATCGTCGACGAACGTGTCGCGAAGCGAATTGTGCATTCCAACGCGAGATATCCAAGCAAGAAGGTTCTTGGTTTCAGTCGGCCCGCTGAGTGAGTAAACAACATGGTTGCAATTGGAATATCCCGGAGATAATGCGTGCGTAACCTGGTGGTGCACGGAGCAGAATGGCACCGCGACGCTGCCATGCGTAATATCAGTGTGTGAGCAGGATCACGCGACCAAAATTGCTGGTACGTGCTAGCTGATGATGGTTCGACTCTAGACGTGACAGGGGCTACAGGGAAGAAGTCTGAGTGGGAGCAGAACAGGGTGTGTGAGTTCAAAGGTCGAGAATAGGAGTGAAACTCGGTGCTACGTTCAGTGCGTCAGTGATTCCATTACTAACTAGTCCCTTATGGCCGCAAATTGTGTTTTTACCACAGTTAAATCCATGAGATGAGAGAGGATATTTTCGTTAGCAAAATATAAATTATTGCCGTCTCATCAGGGTTTGCTGTGTTGTTAAAGCCTTCCTTTAGTTTCTAAGTGGCTTATTTTATAATACTTCAACTGTTTCCATGCCGAGTTTTCTAAACGATAAGAGGACGACTTGTTTTGATATTTACAAGGCAAACCGCGATTTTTTGACGTTCACAAATGTTCGGAAACAAGTAGCAGGAAAGGGGTTGATTCCACCGACACTGTTAAAATCAGACATATTAATACCGTAAAAGAATTATACTTCTGAACGAGATATATCGTGTTTACATTTAAGGGGTTAAACCGTTTAAATTTATTACTATCCGTAAACAAGTAGTGTGGACTATACGTTGTTTGTTTACATCAAACTGTTGAGACGGCGGTGGGATAAAATGCGCAACGATTGCACACCGTGTCGAGCACTAACTCAGTCCGAATGGTGACCGCGATTGACATTTGGCTCTTAAGTCAACAGCAGCGACGTCGTCGGTTACGACGACGAAGATGAACGAGGCTGGGGTAATTGTATCATTCTGCTCGTTCCAAAATCATCTAGCCCCGCCAGAATACCGGAAGTGGCGTCGTGTCCACGGTCTTCAGCTTCCTCTGCATCCTCAGCAAGTAGCAGGGTGGCTGGCACTCCTCGGTTTCGGCGCCGCCACGTTCCTAGTACTGATCCCCGCTCTAGGGTCCACCCTGCATTCACCTCTTCTGGTCGTGTTGGCCTCTCTCTTCCTGATTCACGTGTCTTCCCACCTGACTGCCCTCCTCCTCGACCCGTCTGACCCGCACCTGCGACTGCTTAAGGTGTCCGTTGCCGTGCCCGAGTTTGACCGCTCCAAACACGCCCATGTCATCGAGAACGGCCGCTGTCACCTGTGCAACATCCTGACTTCGAGCCCTCGAACTAAACACTGTAGCGTGTGTAACAAGTGCGTAGAACGTTTTGACCACCACTGCAAGTGGCTGAACCACTGTGTCGGTGGGCGGAACTATGTCGCTTTTGTCGTGTGTGTTGTTTCTGCCGTCGCTGCGTCTCTAGTCGTGGTGGCCGTATCTGTTGCTGAACTAGTATTCTACCATATTGACCCGAGGTGGCTGTCTCTGTGGGAGAATTACAACAGCACAACCTCTGAAGAAACACCCAGTCTCGTTTCTATCACAGTGTTTACCGTTAAAGATACTATATTCCTCGCTGTAGTCGGTTCTCTGGGGATCCTTGCAGCGATAACAGCTGGACTGCTTTTACACCTGTGTCTATTCCACGTTTACATCTCCTTCCTGGGCATAACCACTTATGAATACATCCGCAGTTACCGCCACGTTTCTGGTATCAACGCAGTTGGGCCTTCAGGGACACTCAACCCGACGTATGAAGCTGAACTTCGAAGACAGCGAGGAAGATTCAAAATGTCCCACTGTTGTGGCACCTCTGTCTCAATCACTTCAAGGGCAAGCCCCAATGCCATTGCCATGCCCGCAGAAGAGCAGATGAGACGAAGGCGTTGTCTCGACACATCGAGTCCGTTCTCATCACGGAACGAGGCTGTGGAAGGTGACGACAGAGACAGGCATTGCCCCTTATTTGTGGCAGGCAGTGGCAATCACAGACACCGAATCCTGTGTTGCTGTCCGTCTGTGAGTGAACAGTCTTGCGCAACGAATGGACACGTGTCCTGTAGAGACAAAAGCCGTGCCAGCTGTGAGACTGGTCGTCAGATTAACGGTGCTAAGAGTGAAGGACATTCAAAATTTATTTCTTATTTTAAAACACCAAGAGCACGAAAAGGAACACCGATTGAAACCGAGCCAAGAGGAAATAGAAGTAGACGTTGGCCAGGTTGTTGTCATACCGCTGTTGAATATACTAACGACAGAAAATCTACGGAAGAAGTTGAGTCAACAGCTGGTCAAGATGATACAGTTGGGTCAGAAAATATCGAGATGGACTCGAAGCAGCCATGTCGGCATCAGTTTTTTTTCTATGGTAATCTGTGGACATGCGTGATGCAATGCCAGCATCGCGGCGCCCAATCAGAAACAACCGCACCAAACGTCCGGTGCAATCAGGTGCTGCCTTCGTCAGATTCACCTGCACAAAATCATTTTCAACCTCGGCGGCTTCTCGTGGTTCCAGCTATGGAAGAAAATATCCTCAAACACTCACCAGACTTCACTCCTGTCACCAAAATAGCTTCTCTCCCAGCTCTAGCACCTCCCACGCGGCGCCGGCGTCTCCGGAGTGTAGCGGATCTGAAGAAATTGAGTGATGCTCTCGCAATGGTTCAGGAGCCCCAACGAGAGGTCCCTGACGTGGAGACTTTGAAAGCTGCATTCCTATTAACATCTCAGCGGCGTCAGAGAAGGAAAAGCATCCATCGCACAAGATCTCCTGTCTTGTCTCCCATTCGAGAATCAGGGTTTTCCAACCCGTCTTCTCCGCAACTTTCAGTAGGAGTCTACTCTAGCCCCGCTTCTCTTCAGCGACCCACTCTCTGTGCCTCTGACACTCGTGATTGTGCGCCGAGTAAGCCCATAAGAAGGGCACTGACCGACGACGACGACGTCGACGTCATTGTTACAGTGCGTCCCGCACACTCGTCCCGGCTCGGGAACTTCCTGCTCCAGTAGACCGACCACATGGTAATGCATCTTATCGGTGACAACACGTCATTGATCACTACTGGTGTGCGGTTTATTTTATTTCGAGGTTTCCCTGCCTGGAATCTGGCCCGTTTTGTTGAGTAATGGCGTTTACCATTGACCTTCGAGTGAAATGTTATCTCCAAGCTGTCTTTTAAGATGGCGTTGCGCATGCGCACTGGAGTAAGGTTCTCACCGCGGTGAGGACGAAGATGGCTGTCGTGTGGGTTGTTGCACGTTGCAGTCTTGTAAAAGTTTACCGGCGTTTCAGAGGTGCTTGCTGCCTCTATCATCAGGGCGATGGAGGCACCAAGCACATCTGAAACTTCTGCCAGACTAGATGAGGATTTTAAGTTCATGAAAACTTAAGAAATTTTTGAATAATTGTAAACGATCGGTAGCGTTCTTATAAGACTGCAGGGAAATTTTGAGTTCCTCATTATAAGCTGATCATTGGCAAGAGATACATTAGCGGTTATTACGATATTGTTGTGTGATCCTTAAGTCAGGAAGTACAAAGATTCTAAATCGTATAGGCAAAGCCTAAGACCCAAACGACTGTAAACAGTCCGTTATTAATGAATCCAGCCAGAACCAAGTTCCTTACAGCCTACAGTAAACACGCAATATCCAGGCAGGTTCGTGTCAGCGTACCGCGAATTAATCATTCAGACAGCACGCATAGACTTGAATATTTTAACAGCCTGTAGGACATGCCCGCTCAACCTGTAGGTCGCGGGGAACATGTTGCCCGCGGAGAAATTTGAAATAAGAAAACGTCTTTTAATCCTTTTCCTGGCAATGGCTCCGTAGAACGCCGAAGCAATTCCACCCGTTTCCTGGCAAACTATGCAAGAAAACTTACCACCACTTCCATATTCCCAGGTTACCGTATCAAAAATCCTTGTTGTTAGTTGTTGCTCTTTGCCGGGATTAAAATAACTTTGTTGGCGATGTCGGGGATGTGCAGGCACCAGCAGCGGCTTCTTTCTGATAGTTTCATTGCCGTATTTACAGTCGGTCTTACTGTGCAAACGAAATCTACGCAATAATATTTTGAAAAGGTTATGAACTTTTTATGTATGGAGACATACATTGCATAACGAATTCATTTTGTAAAAATGTGCAACAAATAAACACACCCTACCCTAAGTTGTGAATTGTATTTTTTTTTTTTTACAAATTTTTCTCATTATTATCAGTATATTTTTATTGTATATAATGTATAGAAAAATATGCAGATAAAAGTATATATATATATCATACTATATATTCCACATTTTATGTACTGAACTTCATGTTGGGCAGGCCTGCTTCATTTCTGCCCAAAAGCAATTGTGTTTTCAAATTTAAACTATAACGGCATTGTGGAATTTGCAACGGTTTTGTGACGTGGAATAAAATACTATGGTGTAGTGACTATAAATCATTGATGGCGGGGCCTAGGAGCACTGGGGGTGAATCACCCCCAATATCCTTCCAGAAACTTGTGAACTGTGCAGAAAGTGGAATATAAAACAAAGAATGCAAAATGTGTTTAATCTAGTATCAAATTCCTTGCACCAACCTGTATCATTTAAGATGGAGGTTCCACTGCACTGCTTAGTTGTCCTATTTCTCTAAGTGCTTCTAAATTCTTGTTTTTTAAATAAAAATAGCACACAAGATGTTATCTGAGTTCGTGTTCTGATCCGTCAACAGAACAGTTTTATTGATCCTTTAACTCGTTCGTCATCTCATGTGAAGAATGACTGTCACCTCACTCCATGACGGCCTGGGACAAGAACATATATGGACAGTCATGTTCGAAATGCTTAACGCAAAGCAGCCAGGGGTGAGGAACGAAACACACAGTTCTTACATTTCCCCAAGAACATTTATTTGTTTTTGTACAAAACTTTCTTTTAAATGTTTCCAAATCTGAGTAACAAGAGGTAGATACTAGAGGGAAACGTAATAATGAAATACCAACGTTGCTTAACAGATTCCCATTGAAGGATATTTCTGGATCTTTGTGTTTATAATTATTTAAATGCTGCAAGTGTATGGAGGAGGACGTGTTTTCAGTTGTACTTGTTTTATTTTTTCAGTCCTCAAGCCCCTCCCTCCTCCATTTTTGTTTATCACTGTATTTCCTTTTTTATTTCTTTCTTTTCTTACACATGAAACAATTTGAGACATGCTTCATGTAGTTTCATTAAATCTGATATTTGGAAGTTCTACTAAAATTTGTGAACGCTTTCCAGTTTTGGTTCACATTGGACAACAACGTTGGGTTCCTCATGATAGTGACACCTGTAAAATAGAGCATTTGGCCATCTGTGTTCATTACTAAGAACTTTTGAGTGAAACCAAACATCAAACTGAATTTTATATGTAGTATATTACTAGAGTTATGTATTTTGAATGATAGTCATGTGCGATGATCTGTTGTAATGAAGTTTATAAATTTTGCTCTTGAGAGACGCAATGTTGTCAGCAGGTCTTTGTGTTGCCATCTTGTGAGATGGGAATGCAGTTCTGGAAAGAGGCACTGGGTTCACCATGCTACTTGGTTGCCCCCATGGTCGATGCCAGTGAACTGGCGTGGAGACTTCTAAGCAGACGTCACGGTGCACACGTGTGCTACACCCCCATGCTCCACAGTTCTGTGTTCATCCGAGATCCAAAGTACCGCAAAGAAGCTCTGGTGTCTTGTGTTGAAGACAGACCACTTATTGTGCAGGTATGGAACCAGTTTCATTTAGATAAACATTGGGACTAGGGACTTCAAAATTATATACTTGCATATCCAAATGCATTTCTCTTAATTTTTCATACTTCATTGGCTTCATGTTTGTTTATTTTGACGTAAATACGTCTGTGAGGAAGGGTCATTCGGCAAAAATGTGTTATGAAAAAGGGAAACGAAAAAGTGTAACAATGGTTACCTAGGAAACGTCATCTATTTACTCAGCATTGTTGTTACCTATAAAACATTTTATTACATTACATTACATTCAGCTACCACAGACCCATTTTAAGCGTAACTAATTGAAGTTGAATAAGCAATGTTTTAATCAAACTTATCTCAATTGTAAAGCATGTATAAAGGAAATATTTAGAATAAAGCCAATATATAAACTTCCTTTCCGTATAGACATATTTACGTCAAATTCTCCGGAACCGTGGTTCCATTGTCAACTGCATGTTTATTATAGATACAAATCTGCTTTTGGAAAGCTAATCACTTTACAGATTACAAGTATTATACTACACAGTGTCATATTTCCTTGTATTTGTATTTCACCATATCAGAAGATTTTTTAAAACTAAGTTGTTTAACTCCATGAGATCTATATTGTTTTAGTGTGCACCAATTTTAATCACATCAGCCATTTTGGGAAAATAAGTACATTTTGATTTGTACTTTACTTAAATCAGAGTCTCTGCTGGACTAGTACAAACCAAAATGAAGTCTACCCAACAATTTGCCACTCTATCAAATTTAATAGAATTCATTCATTGTTCTTAGAGTTGTAACTAGGGGACAGATGGACACAATCTCCCCTCCAGTTATTTACAACATACATTTTATGCAAAGATTTATTAAACCTAATTTGTAAAATGTAACTGTGTTTTGCTTTTCAGTTCTGTGCTAATGATGCACGAGTTTTGCTTGAAGCAGCCCTTTTAGCTGAGCCCCATTGTGATGCAATTGATATAAACCTGGGATGTCCACAAGCAATTGCGCGTAGGGGACACTATGGGGCATTCTTGCAGGACGATTGGCCCCTACTAACAGACATGGGTGAATATCAAAGAAGTTCACGTTGTAGTATTCCAAGGTTACCTGTTATTAGGGTCATGTTGTGAGCATATCCTGTGATTGTGGTAATTAATGTTTGAGTCTCATAAAACATGCTGTTAATTACCTAATATTCCTTAGAACACATCATGTTTTGCTATGTATTACAACTCAGTTATAGCTTATTTTGTAATGGAGCTAACTGTAACATTTTTTTGCAATGAGTCATTCACAGACGCCATTTTAACAGTTCACTACAGCTCCGCCATCTGTTGGAATCTCCATACACGATGATCGCCCTGATGACGGAGGCAGTATGACCTCTGAAACGTTGGTAAACATCGACCAGACTACACAGCGCAACAACCCAGAAGACAGAAATCTTCATACTCATCGCCCTGATGACGGAGGCAGTATGACCTCTGAAACGTTGGTAAACATCGACCAGACTACACGGCGCTACAACCCAGAAGACGGAAATCTTCATTTTTATCTCTCTTTGTTATTAGTGAGCACTTTGCATCAAGCTTTATCGGTTCCTGTCACGTGCAAAATACGTGTCTATGAAGATATCGAGCACACTGTGGCGTATGCCCGGATGCTAGAGGCAGCGGGCTGCCAGATGCTGACAGTCCATGGGAGAACCAAGGAGCAAAAGGGGCCCCTCACTGGCCTTGCCAGCTGGGAACACATCAAAGCAATCAGGTAACGTAATGTACAGTAGTGTTAACGGTGATTGAGGATATGCAGCTTGCATTGGGGAAGTGAGAAATGTGTACAAACTTTTGGTCAGAGAACCAGAAGGGGAAGAGGCCAATTGGGAGACATAAGTGCAGATGAAGGACACCATTAAAATGGATTTTAGAATTGACATAATTGGCATGGGATATGATCCATTGATGCCTTTTTTTAGAACAACGGTGTTGAAACTTTGGGTTCCATAAAAGCGCGGAATTTCTTACCCACTTCAACTGCTAATGGCATGACTTGGTTTTCGTAAGTATAAATTCAAAATCTAGACCTGTTTTACAGAGAAAGTGTAAGCATCCCAGTAATAGCAAATGGCAATATCCAGTGCCTGGAGGATGTGAAGCGATGTCTTGCAGAGACTGGAGTGCAGGGAGTCATGTCAGCTGAGGGAAATCTGTACAACCCATCCATTTTTGAGGGACACAACCCTCCAGCCTGGGAAGTGGCACTTGAATATTTGGACCTGGCCGAGAAATATCCATGCCCCACTTCGTATGTTAGAGGGCACCTCTTCAAGTTATTCCAACACTGGTAGGTTATTCTTTATGTGACATATTGCCTTACCATCAAGGTTTTAAATTCATAAGATAAAACCTATAAATGTTATGTAATATGGATTACGAAAATTTGAGCACTGCTAGCAGTTTTGCTGCGTAAAACTACTTCTGAATCTTTGAATCTGTTTTTTTTTTTTTTTAAATTAGCCTCTGTCTTCCCGAGAACTTTGAGTTGCGTGCTGAGCTAGCCACGGGGTCTGATCTATCAGATTTTCGAAGTACAGTGCTGCAATTGCGTGACTGCTATCTGCCTTATCATGAAGGAACAAAGACTTGGACTGGTGATACAGGTATGTATGATATTTTGACATATGAAGGTTCATCTTGCTGAGAGTAACATGCACAACTGTGTTTTATCTGCGCAAAAACATTTGTTTATTTTTCATTCCTAAAATCATTATGCATCAAATATACCAAGAAGTGTGGAATGTGTTTAAGCATAGTAGTCCTTGGAGCAATTTTGAACATTAGGGTCCCTTCCTCTTCATCCCCAAAGTAACATCAGACATTAAAACTTGTATACACAAGGTCTTGAATGGGTGCGTGTATATGAATTCATGTTTTTAGCTCCTGCACATATGTAGGGTATTTTCTAAATACATTACTTTTCAAATAAACCTAAAGAAAAAAGTCACTTATGTCTGGCGATGTTTGTGATCAAGCAGTGTCTTTTTGTAATGAGACCAAACATCCAGGAAACCTTTTACTTAGTTTATTTGTTCATGGAAGTATATTTTGTCATATCATCTTGCTGGAAAGAAATAATGTTTATGTTCGCCAAGAGATGCTGAAACTCGTTAACAGTGGATGTCTAAAACATGCGTGTATTGTTCAGATGTAACTGTCATTGCACAGTCTACAGCCCCTGCAGCGCCAGTTGCACCTATTCCGAAACTAGACTGTAACTCTTTTACTGAAACTTTCATGAATTTCGAGTAAAGTTTGATGTGACCAATGTTTTATGTTTTGATTATTAACTTGGCAAATGGAAGTGCTTCATCTAAAAACAGGAACACATTTATTAAATGATGGTCACATTTAGAAATTGCAAGCAAAACTATTTTATTGTTGTTCAGTCTTCATTCTTTGACTGTTAACAGTTTGAGCTATGTAAAGATGAAATTTCAGGTCCTGGTGCAATGTTCAGTGCACTGTTTTGTTGGAAATGTTAATCACCGTTGCAAGACCAGATGCAGAATTCTTTGTGCTGATAAAAGTTGCCTTTGTCACACATTATGCGCTTTCAGCAGTACAAACTGTTGTTCACCTCCAGGGTCACTTTCTCCAAGTTTCTGACCACAACTTAACTTTTGGTGAGAGTGAAGAGTGGCATGATTCTTATATCACTTTTATTCTGTGTATAGGAATAGGGTACAATCTGATTCACCCACCATGGATCTGCCAGCCTTATGTGCGAATTACACCCGAAGAGCATCTGAAGAAATTGGTGGAGAAGCAGAACAGGAATGCTGATGTGAACCAGTTTGAGGAGGAATCTGGCTCTGGCGAAGCAGAGAAAGAGGTGAGAATCTACATGAAAAGCTTTTGGGATGAAATGAGGTGACAGGAATGTGAGCCAGATGAAAAGTAGGGATGAAGTAAGGGTCTTTTTATAGTACCGCTGTTCCATTTCGTATACTTTTCCTATTGTTACTGTTGTCATTCCTGGTCAATGTTTTTTAATACACTGCTTCATAAAATAATTCAACATTTTTATAGCTCAAAATACATGTCTCACAGAATCAAGATGGTATAACTATGAAAAGACCACGAGAAGGTAGTGTGGAGTCTACAGACAGTAAAAATATGTCCAAGAGGAAGATGAAAAAGCTTAGGAAATTACAACACAATCCAAATAAGAACTTCCATGGTCGTCGGGGAGTTGATAAGTGTGTGGATTGTCCAAACCCTGTCGTAAGTATTGTATTTTCTTTCAGTCTAATTGGTATTTTAACAAACATCATTTGAGTGGTTAAATTACATCATTTGTAAGATAGAATATATATAATTATTCTGTTAGTCTGTTTTTTATGTAAAGCCACAGTGTTTCAGAAGTCTGTTGTAATTGTGTCTTCAGTTGGGAAGAAGAAACCCTACTTTGTTGGGCCGCATGGTTGAGGTAGGCTATACCTTTGACCAGGGTCCCAATGGAGTAGACTTTTGTGCTCCCTCCTGAAGATAGAAGCATAACTAACTTCTGAAATGTGGTTTTAATTACATGACACTTAGATGATAAATAAAGTCCAATAGTATTATTACACACATTGTGTCACATAATTATCAGAAATGGTGATATTTCAAGTTCTCACAGCAGCATGTATGAAGATGGCTGTCTCCTGGGATGTTGCACTTTGTAGTCTGATAGAAATTGTTCGACGTTTCAGAGGTTCCTTCTCTGTTGCTGCTGCTGTGCTGTTTCATTTGTCAGAAACTGATTGATGAAAGGTAGCATAGTTTCATATAGAGGGCTCTGACTTTTTGTTTATATATTACAAAGTTTATTATATATGTAATATATACAGTATATTTCAAGATTTCTTTTAACCTGTTAATTTTAGAAAAAAAAGTGTTCATAAAGCAAAATGTTTACCATATTACTTCGACAAACAAATTTTAATTGAAACATGAAAGATTGTGTGTTCTGTTGTTGTCTTTAGGAAATGCAAATAACAAAAGAAAGATAGACAAACACAGTCTGCTCTGTATGTGTTCATTTTGTGCACATTGTGCAAAGAATGAATAATAAAGAAAACAGGCTGCTATCCATACATTCTTTGTTCTTTTACAGGGCTCCAAGTGTGATTTACGTTTGTGCAAAGCCTGCTGTAGGATTAAGTGTTACCTAGAAAACAGGGATTGTGCTGGACATAGGATTCTCATCAAGACTCGACGTGAGAAAGCTTGTGAGCAGCGCAAAGCAGAGAGTCAGAGTGATATAACCAGAGGTCACCAGACAGTTCAGTGTGAGCATATTGCAAATAAGGGGAATCAGAATATCAGACTGGATAAAACAAAGTGGGAACATGCAGTACAAGCAGAACATGCTTCAGCAGTGAGCCAAGAGCAGTACTGCCAGTTACACACAGAACAAAAAATGACCATTGAAAATGATGATGTGCCAATTTTGAATGTATAATCTGCCAAGAATAGTACCAAAATTTCTCTCACAAATTCAAAAGACCATCAAAATGATGCAGAAAATGTGAACCACGTGCCACAGTATGAAAACAGATAGAAGTGCATATAAGTTGGCTGAATTTGTATATAAAAGAACAGTGTCAGAATGCCAGTGTAAGTAGCCATGTACATTCTGAAGCAGGTCTGGCTCAAGCCTGTATACCAACCCACTGCCCTGTCCCTGGTGAATCCAGCACAACTTTCACAAAACTTTGTCACAATTAATAACACAAAATTCCCAGACACTGTGAGAAGCACCATCATTGGTTGTAGTAATTCTTAAAACAAGAATAAACAAAGCAGAAATAAACATACACTGTCACCAGGTCACAAAAGTTATGAGCTTGTAATATAATTAAAAGTAGAAGACTGAACAGTAGTTATACATGGGTGTATATTATGCTCTTAGTTAAAAGTCCTCCTACTGGTAATATGATAGCAGGTCTTAGCATAAGTACACCAAAAGAAATTTAAAATGTGCTGCCTCAAGCAGCCATTTTATTTGCCTGTGCTCTCATGATGGCCCTGTTCTCAAATATGGTCACATCTTTAATTAATTCAGCTAGAATAATAATGCAGAGCTGTTTTAAGAGGATATGTTTCAAAGTATTTAACATGATTGGCCTACGGGATAAGGTTTGTATTTTTCAGCTACTTGTATTTAAATTTGTACTTATGTCAACATTTCTGTAGTATCTTACATTTCTACATGTATATGCTGTGTAATTTGTTGTACATGACATTTTGTTAGCAATACATAACATATTTTGTATCGGTGCGAAACATGGTCTCTCACTCAGGGAGGAACACAGATTGCAGGTGTTTGAGAATAGGGTGTTGAGGAGGATATTTGGGCCTAGGAGAAAACTGCATAATGATGAGCTCAAAAATCTGTACTCGTCCTCCAGTATTGTCAGGGTGATTAAGTTGAGAAGAATGAGATGGGCATGTAGCGCGCATGGATGGGACAAGAGGTGTGCACCGGGTATTGGTTGGGAAGCCTGAGGGGAAGAGACCGCTGGGGAGACCTAGACATAGATGGGAGGATAATGTCAGGCAGGATCTATGGGAGATGGGAGTTGAAGGAGACTGGATTTTATTGGCCCAGGACGGTCCGGTGGAGGGCTTTGGTTAATTCGGTGATGAGCCATCTAGTTAGTTAATACGTAACGTAACCTAGCTGTTCATGAAGTAGAGATAATGACAAGTGTTGCTTATAATATTGTTATTATTGAAACTCCTAAGAAACATACAATTTAACATGATATCAGGTTGTGTGAGACTTGTGTGTATGTTTCTGTATTACAGGAAATATTGCCTATAAGACAGAGGCCATTTTGTGATTACTGGTATATTGTTTGGCTTTCTACAGCTATCTAAATTATTTTTATGTCCGGTTATTTATATAGTAACTGTCATCTCAGAAGGCAGTGCTGTCATGTCTGCTTGTAGTGAGGTGTGTGTAGACTGTGGTGTTTTCAAATATGAGGTTATGGAAAATGCCTTGTTGCTTCAGTTTCAAAATTTGACGTACAGTGTTGTAAGAAATTTAATGTTGTTTTCTTAAAAATGTAGCCCAGTGAAATTTATCCAGTTGGTGGAAACATGGGTGTTTTAACGAAGTTAAATTAATTTATATGTCATGGATTCAACCCACACAAACAAAAAAGAAACAACATAAGATTTTGATTACTACCCCCAAAGTATGGCTCAGTGCAAAACAGCTTTTGAACCCAGAAGACTGAAATGTGCAACACTACTAACATGAAAGAATAGAAAGCACCTCTGCCCAAGACATTGTAGCCCAAATCTATGTTTCTAAATTTATGTAATAGTATTTCTGTATAAACATTAATGTTATTCTTTTTTATTTCAGTGATTTTCTTCACATGTTGATTCATAAATCATGGTTTGATTCCCATGAATTTATCTTGACATTACAGAGAATATCAATTTCAATCACATATTTTAAAAAAAAAGTGGATAAATTATTTCTTTCATATTAAGCCAGTGATGAATACCAACTGTAACGAACTCCTGAGGCCTTACCATATATTATGCTGCAATACAAACTTTCATTTCTCCTCTGTATTACAAGTGCTGATGCAAACTACACCAGTAATATTTATTGGCAAATAGTATGGTAGATGCCATTCTTTAATTATAGTTTTACATTTTTTTTGGAACTAAGCCATTTAAAAACCCAAGGTAAGATCAGTGTGCTCTCTTGAGCATTTATACAATTGTATAACTTGCGTATCTTCTTGATGTCTCCCTCTGTTGGGCCTTCGACCTGCCCCAGTATAAGTGATGTGTCATTCTGCAAAGAACAAAATAAACTCGGCACTTTATTCTGTCAGTCCATGAATATAAAGTTGTTTTATAGCAATAGGATTATTATCCAGTAAAATCTGCTTATAGTGAAATTTCAAAGCACCTGAGCATTTTCGCTTTCTACAGGTTTCCATTGAAAACATGTGAGGTAAAGCTTTCTGTGGCTTAACTAAGCACCATGCCATGCAGACAGGAAGAGTAGAGGTGAAGCACCTGGCATTCGTAACAAAATTAAATGTCAGTATTTTGAACTTATTCTGTGAAAATCGTGAAATGAATTGTTTTGCATATGTGACAGTAATGTTCTGCCTTAGATAAATTCCAGGTATCTTGTACAGGAAGAAACCCCATCCCCATCTCATCATCAAACACGTTTCTTTATTAGAGATGGATTTTCAGTGGGTTTCTTTCTATATTATCAGGGTGTGAGAAGTTGTATGACAAAGGCAAGATTATATTTAGTACAATACCTTGGCTACAATAGTATTCTTTCCATTCTTAGAGTAGGCAGTGTTGTGATAATGCATTAGGCTCTTATAGTCATATGGAACATTATACGTTGTAGCAACATCATCAGGAGCTTTGACAAAGTTGTTTTTAAATTCTGCAGCAAAGGTAAAAATTAGCATTTATATGTGTTACGTGTTGCATACGCTTATGCATATGCATACCATGCCTTGTGAGTACACTTTGCTTGCCTTTTTGTTAGTACTTGTCTCTCCATTTGACTTGTCTACATTAGATAATTGCTATAATTGGTTGATACTTGAAAAGTTTATAATTATTCAACTGGTAAAGAAATTCCCTGTTGATGTTCTGAGTTTTGGTGCCATTACTCATAAGTAGATGCCAACATTTTTGAGAAACGTTCTGTTTCCATTCTTACCATTACAACCCTGAAGGCCAACATTAACAATAATATTTTGAAGTTCTTTACATGATATAATCTGTTTTTTCTAGTATAATAATATCATCTTACACTAATAATTGGAAGGACATCATAATAAGTCTCAATGTATTGCGTGAACAGTAAGACTTCATCAGTTCTGCTAAATGTTTTAAAAACTGTAAGAAGAAATTCTGATATACATTCCTTATTGAAACTAGAGAGCTAGGTGACTTCTTTTCCTTCACTAATCTCTTTTCTTGAAAATGAAGTATACCCCACCATTTTTAAGATCCTACATTTTACTTGAGGCATCAAGTTTCCAGGTTTCTGGAGACACTGGCCATGATTATGTACATTAAAAGCTGCCCAGGGCTTCCAAGCACAAGTATGTGTAATACCTGGAATGATGTTGTCCCAGAGTACGGTAACGTAGTTATCTCTGTCTGGCCGTGCCTGCTCATGGAACAGCCCTAGCACGTGCAGTAGTTCATGTTGTATTGTTCCAGTTGTTTGTAGGCACTCTGGAGCTTGGTAATTGACAGCCATTGGGAATCCACGCCCAGGACGACGACCCACCATGGCTCCACAACCTAACTGTGGATCTTTTCTAAACTCAATATAGTCTGCTTCTGAAGTGTGTGGCACAAATTTCACGCACGTCTTCTCTTGGATTCCTTTCATGCCAGCTTTAACCTTAGCCTTCTCATCTTCAGCTGAATGATTGTAAATAAAATTACTATCTATATTATAGGAGGCTAACTGAAAATTTGAAGTTTTTTCTAACCACTGGTTAATTGGTACAACAGTATTCCTGAACTGAAAGGCTGTTTCAGTTGCTACTAACGCTAATTGTAATTCAGCTTTATAGGAGAAGTTACATAGCGCTGGTTGAGGATTTTTATCATATTGTATTTTGCCATTTTCACATCTAAACACTAGCCTTTGTCCTAACAGATTGAAACTCTAAAATTATATAAATGTAGACAGAATTCAAGTGTATTTTAATTCCTGACTGCCTGTTATTCTGTTTTAAAGAAATATAACCGCTGCAGGATTTGTACTTAGGATAGTGCCTTCATTTGGCAGTAAATTTGAGGCAAGTATTTAATTACTACCTATAAGATGTATAATTACATAACTCCATAGTTATAATGAATGAAATACAGTAAGTTCCAGTACATTAATAGTTTTGTAGAAAACAAAAGGTAGGAAAGACTCTGTTTCTCTTGTGTTGGTCTTTGAAACATAACTTACTGAAATTTGAATGGAAGACATAAGGAACTACTCCAGATGGCCACAAATATTCTTTCACTAATAGGGCATTTCTTCCTTCTGGCATTATAATATCACCTTGAAAATGATTTCCAAGTTCTGGATGAGATTTATCAACAACTGAAACAAAAATGTCAACATTTGAACAATTGAATTACTTTACTCCATAACTGCGAAGAACAACATACTCAATCATCAAACATCTAGTAATATAAAGTTTATCAGATACAAATTTGTGGTTGATAGTAACATGTGGTAAGTTCTTAGTAAGTAGTACAGTGACAAATGAAAGCGTTAAAGAAAAATGTTACCAATTATTGTGGATATCTGGAGATGGAAAATGCCTAAGGGGAAAATACGGCCTTGTAAAAGTTACAGCATACAAATATGTATGGAGCAGAAATGTGGACATGTCCAGTCCAGGCAGATAATGGAAGCAGGTGAGAGACTTTTAAGGAGCACAGAAGGAAAACTAAAAGAGAAAATAAAAAGCAGAAGTTGACAAATAACAGCATCAGGTGTTATGGACACATTTTAAGAATGAATAAAAAGATGATCACAAAGAAGGTTTTGAATATGAAAGTGAAAGGAGCATGCCCAAGGAGACTTGAGAGCTGGTTGGGAATTCCAACATGTTAGGAAAGATGTCACACAGGAAGAAATATAAGAGGAGTACCTGTGGGAAAGCAGATATAGATAGGTTCGGTGTTGTCAGACAACCCACTTAAAGAATCATAGGAGGAAGATGGAAAAGGCTGATTCAAACATTAATGTCAAATAGATATTTAGAATTATTAACTATTACTAATAATTCAATTGTTAATATAATGCAACATAAGTGCAGTGAATTTTAACTTCACATATGAAGTAATTTGTTTGAATCAACAATCAAAAGAAGTATTAAAAATAATATTAATAAAATAGTAAAATATTTAGCTGGGCTATAACAAGGAAAGAGGTCACTTAAGGTGGTAACATTAAATGAATCTTAGAAACTAAGGGTGTGAACTGTATTGAAGTGGCTAAGGATAGAGTCCAAATGCAGACTTTTATGAACATGACATGAGCTTTCAGATTCTTTGAACAGTAATGAAATTTCTTGACCAGATAAATAACTACCAACTGTTCAAAGAGTTCTGTACCATTAGCAGGTTAGTTGGCTTATCAGTTATTAAAATATTTTACCTAGTGTTGTCTTGTATGGATGTCCTGATACTGCAATTAACAAATAAAACAAGTGTACTAACTGATTCTCATCCATTATAAAAGAAAACTGCGATGAAGAAGTTAAAATTAACAATATAAAGGGGGAAAAAGCACAAACTCTGAAGCGACACAGTAAGAAAACAAAACACTATTCTTGAGTCCAGGAACAGCTATATGTTCTATACCTGGTATTATAGCCTGAGACTGACGATTCATATAGTTATAACAGTGGAATATTAATAATAAATGTGAAAGTCCTGCCACGTGCCACACAATTATAGACTAACTTCACATTTCTTTATCACTGTACATATGCATAGGTCTGATAAAATTGTGCCCATCCTCATAATACACTTTATCTATACATATGACCATTAGAAAGTTCATTTACTGTTTAATTGATAAAGTAAAGCATGCAAGCATGTTTTTGCAAGTAGCATGTTTATTATGTGCACAGTTCCCAGAACTCTCAAATTAACTTTCACTTTGTGTTGGTTTTACTGTTGTGTTGTTCTACATACAGATTACAAGCAAGCCAAAATTGAGTGCGTGGGAACAACAGTTACAAGTAGAAATATAGTACCTGTTGAACTTGGAAGAAGAATAAATTATTGAAATCCTTGTTATTATTTAGTTCACTAAAACTGTTCCATATCCTTGTTGAATGTCCCTGGCCTCATCTGCTCTTCAGTTTTTATTGATAGAGGAATACTAGAATTTCATTTTGTCATTTCTTCCAATTTTGTAGCAATATCTTTTACACTGTTTTATTAACAGGTTCAATTCCATCAGAATACCCTGCAGTGCCAGATTACTGTCTTCAAGGCCTTACTGTTCCTATTCACAGAATAACAAATAATTCTTTAACATTTTTATGTATGGAGACAGTAATTAATGAAGGATTTTATTGAATTTTTTTGGTTGACATGAATTGGAGGAAAATGACCATGTATTTACCTGGGTAAAATTAGGGGAAATATCAAGCATATGATTAGGAGCATCTGTTTTGTGCATGTGGGACAGTATGAATATACCATTGGTATGTGAGGGGATACCAAGCAAGTGATAGAAGCATATGTTCCATGTGCATGGAATTTTATTAACATGCCATTGTATGAAGGGTCATGATATGCCTTGAACTACTGTTTGGAAGGCAGTGTGCCAGTGCTGATATACTGTTGTTACACTGGACACCCAGTGGTAGACTTTGACACAAGCTACTGGGCATGCATAGAGATTAAACATATTTATAAGACACCCATGATCCAACCAATAATATGAGGAAAATTGATCAATGTTGATGTGTGAAGTTATACTTCCAACAGGAAGGATTTATTAATATGATGCTACTACTACTACTACTACTACTACTCCATGGCACTACAGCCCTTTTTCAGGGCCTTGGCCTCCCCTATATATTTGTATTACAGATGCATTTTCATTAACTTAGCAAGATCATATAATCTTATTATTCCACTACCAGCAATGTGGATCATCACACTGGAGTATCCTAATTTAAATAATCAGTTACAAGCACATTTTACATAAGAAAAAAATATTTTTGAATGTTGATACAAGTCTGAAAGGCTTCCATAATAAGCTAATTATATATTACATTGAGATTATTGTTTCTCGCATCAGTTAATATGTCAATGTTGATCTGGGATATAACAGGTCTGGACTTGTGGGTAGATACCAACGTTTAGTACGAATGCATTGCCTTCATCTTCAGTGCTAAACAGCAACATTGACATGCCTTATATTACTGATAAAGAAATGTTCCATTTTTTCGTAACAAATGGTGAGACATTTGCCAATTTCTATGGACGTGACATACTACACAAAAGGTTAATATTGTCGTAGTGTCATTGATTGTTCATATAACAGATTATCTACACATGGTACGCATCCTCTAGTAGCAGGAGTGTAGTACTAATAATTTATCCAAGCGACGATTAACAAAGTTGGTTCGATGTTGGTATTTTCTGTGATATATCCCGCCAAAAAGGAAACCGAAGTATGGCGGATGAGAGTGATGGGATTGTGGAGATTATGGAAGTTGACAACAGGGAAAATGAACCCTCTACATCAAAGGCAATAAATTCTACACAACCGATGGAAATAAAGAAGAGTCATTATAATCTCCCATGGTAAATATAACATTTGGCAAAAGCAAGCATACACTGTGTTTTCACGTTAGCTGCTCATATCTTGACAATTCGATGGAAAATTTCAATTTGACAGAACGTTGTTTTTTTAATAGGAAAGCAAGGTGTGTCGTTTAGTTACAGTGTACTTGTGAGGGGGAGGGTGTATGGTTCCAACCCAATGTTGTTTGACGACTTACTGTTGAACTGCATTAGTGGCTTTTATTTCCGAGTGATTTTTTTAATATTTATAAATACAGGATTGTGATATTTGACTCACAGTATTGTTCTTTTACAGGATAGAAAAGTACAGGCCACACACATTTGAAGATATTGTTGGAAATGAAGATACTGTTGCAAGACTTGAAGTATTTGCCAGAAATGGAAATGTACCAAATATCATTATTGCTGTAAGTTAAACTGATAGTTACTTGTTTTTTAGGGGGTGAAGAAAACATATTATTGCAATATGTCTGTATAGTGTTTCACGTGTCAGGTATTTTGTTTTGTGATATTAACATTTAACTAATTAGATGGCTTAGGGAACCAAAAGCTTCATCATTGAATTAACCAAAGTCCTCCACTGGTCCCTGTCCTGGGCCACTAAAATTCAATTGCCTATGATTACAATCATTTTTCTGTTTGAATGCTAAGGGGGGTTACTGTTTATCTGAATATTTAGTGATACGTAATGCACTAAGAACAGTTAGCTCATGTGCTTTGATCCATCCTTGACAGTGGTTGTTAAGGCTATAAGATCTGTTTTGGCATATGGGTTCTCAGAAAGTGCTAGATCAAAGCAGTTTAGAAATGTCTGCAACCTGTCTTATGGTGCAAGTGTTAGGTCAGCGTGGACTCTTGAGATAAAGTCCATGATATCAAACACTTGTATAAATCAGTTTATGTGTAATGATACCGAGACTTCATACCCTGTTGTTGCATTGATGTAAATTGTTGGATGAAACATTGCATCTTTTGAATGTTAGTTGATCCATTTCTGTGGAAATTTGATTTTTTTTAACATTGTGTTTGGGTATTTTAATTTTGTTAATAAAATTATAACTAGTAACTCAAAGACAAGAATAGAGGCTACTCCCAAAATGCCATTTAAATGGACAGTGCTAAGCATAACATTTGTGTATATATATCACAAACAGTATAATTTGTGTTTCTTACCACAGGGTCCACCAGGTGTAGGCAAGACAACAACAATCTTATGTCTGGCTCGTGTTCTCTTGGGACCTGCTTTCAATTCTGCAGTACTTGAGTTGAATGCTTCTAATGATCGAGGCATCGATGTTGTACGGAACAGGATCAAAATGTTTGCTCAACAGAAGATAACTTTGCCACATGGCAAACATAAAATTATCATCCTTGATGAAGCAGACAGGTTAATTTTAATTAATTTACATGTTGTACTTTTATAGATTCTGGTTTTATTTGCGAAAAACGTGCGTGTTTCCATTATGTTATCAAGACATTGAAATTAGTCTTCGGTAATAGTTCACATACTTTGGAGGCTTTATAGCTGAAAAACAAGGATGCTTTGTTCTGGAAATCAGAGAAGGTGAACTGAATAGTGTCATAGAATTTTTTAAATCAGTGTGAAATGTGGTTGAGTGTTGGATATTACCTACTTTCTGCAGATATTATAATACCAGGTGTAGAGTGGCTTTCCTGAAGACATTTTTCGATCAAGGATAGAGCCTTCAATTAGATTATGTGATAGCAGGTGATTTTCTAGGCACTAGATAGGGGTGTGTGGTCAGTGTCACACCCTGCCCATGCTTTATCCCCAGTGCCCCTTGGATATGAGGCTGGGCGGGCCTCGGAGCCAGTCTGGATGTAGAGGCTAGAGGATGGGTTAAATATAATTTTGGACAAGAAGTGACATTTGTTTGCAGTATGACAGATGGTGCTCAGCAAGCCCTAAGGCGAACTATGGAGCTGTACAGCCGTACAACAAGATTTGCTTTGGCATGCAACAACAGTGAGAAAATTATTGAAGCTATTCAATCAAGATGTGCCATGCTTCGTTATGGTCGCCTCTCTGATGCCCAGATTTTGGCTAAAGTTATTGAAGTCTGCCAAAAGGAACAGGTGATTTTACATAATTATCTATTTAATGTTTGTTGGTCCAAACCAGGGGCACTTAAATCTATGCTACTGCCCTCTTCTGAGTCTTCATCAAGGACTGCAAGCTATTGGTGCCATTCTTTTAGTATAAGCAGGATTGTTTTATCCACTGGGCAGTGGTAGTTGAGGATCGTAAAACTGATTGCTTTCCTCCGTAGCATGGAAAACTCTTCATAAAATAAGTTTCTTTGCCCGGAGCATTAATTTCAAATGCAGCGTACTTGTTTTGTGGTTGTTGTTACTGGCTCTGTATTTCTTACAAGTTGTAATTTCACCATGCTCTAGAATTGGAAACCGGCATTCTGGGCTGTAGCGTAGGCGGTTGGATGCCGGTGTCAGTCTTGAGGTGGATAAGGTAGATATTTATCACGGTATTTCGATTTTTCCCTGAACCCTTCAAACAGCATTTCATACTTGTCTGAATGTAACTAAGGAATGTGACAGACTGCGTAACCAGCATACTTTCATAACTTCGTTCTAAGATAAGCCTTCAACTCTGAGTCAGCAGATGGCATGACAGAGAGTAAAGAAGGCGGTTTGATTCGGTTGTCTCTTTAGCAGCGATTGTCTGCTGGCTTGAAAGATATTATTGTATTATTCTTTATGTTTAGAGAATGTCAAGTGCTTTTTTATAAGCAATAATGCATCGTTGTTGCAGATTTCATACACAGATGATGGTTTGGAGGCTATAGTGTTTACAGCGCAGGGCGACATGCGACAAGCATTAAACAACCTGCAGTCTACATTTAATGGATTCAAACATGTCAGTAGTGAGAATGTGTTCAAGGTAAATATTGTTCATATATAGAGTTCATGCAGATGTAGTGTACACTTTTAAAAAATAACCAGTCTAATTGCTGTACGAATGTTATATTTATATCAACCGAAACTGTGGCTCTAAAGCCGCAGGGATTTGTCCAAGTGTATACAAAGCTATTGTTCGTGGCTCATGGTATAAAGATGGTTTGTACGGGCCGAAAAGTTATTCTTGGAATAAAAATGATCGGGCAAATAAAACACAAGGGTTTGTGAGATGTACGCAGGCTACAACTTCCACTTCATGTAAGCTGATCTTTGGAGTCAGAGTAACTCGGTCTGCACAGCGACTGTTTACAGACTGAACGACAAGGTTGAGCACTGGCATTTAGACCAGCTTTGGGGCCCACCCAGCTTCCTATCCTACCAAGGGCACTTTTGCTGGGGGAAGCACGGCTGGGACGTGACGCTCGACCGATCACCGTCGTCTAGTGCCAGGGTCAAGAACGAGTACGAGCTACATTTCTTCCACTCTCACCAACTGCCTTTACAACAATTTAACAGGCTGATTGTTGATTGGCTGTATTATTAAATATATTATACTCTGTGTGTGTGTTGGTATTCGTATGCATTTCGTTTCAGGTGTGTGATGAGCCCCATCCACTTCTGGTGAAAGAAATGTTGCAGCATTGTGTTGATGGGAATATTGGAAAGGCGTACAAGGTACGTGTGTGATTGATGCATCCAGTCCTGGACATAATTGTTTGCATTCGAGTAATATGATATCCTGCATCCTGTATGGACTCATTCATTATTGATGTGATATTTTACAGTCGTTATAAGTACGTTCCCTTTAGGAATATCTTGTTTACAAAGAGTAAATTGGGCAAAAAGGTGCGAGTTTTATGCAATTGCAGTAAAAGCTCTCTGCTTTAAAAAATTCTGAAGATCAAATTTGTGGGCAATTTGGGTTTATATAACAAGGAACTTGTGATATATATATATAGGTAGCTTATTATTAATAAAGTGAAATAAACAAAGTTATAATGGGCTGTACATGTATATCAGGTATAACAAAAGAAATTCATACAGTTTTGGTGCGGAAACCGGGAAAATACTGATTGAAACACCAAGATGGAGATGAAAGGATAACATTAAGGTAGATCTTAAGGAAATAGGTTGTTAGAAATGGAGATATATGGAACTGACTCAGGATCATGTTGGTTTGTTTGAAGAATTGTAATTTTAATTTTTCAGATAATGGCTCATCTGTGGAAACTTGGTTATGCAGCTGAAGACATCATTGGAAATATTTTCCGTGTTACAAAATCTATGCAAATGTCAGAAGAACTGAAGCTTGATTTTATAAAGGTAGATAATTAATAATGTTACTCAAACAAAAAAAAATTGTAGGTTTACAGTGTGCCTCTTTATTCCATTGTGTACCTTCATACCCTATTTCCCCAAGATCTGTGTTGTCTGCATTTAGGGCATACTTTTTCTCCCCACGCATTTTATATATCTCGTCTTTGGCGCGGTGCACATGAAGATTATGGATTCCTGGTGTGAATGTGTTGAATATGCAGTTACATACAGTTGAACAAGGGCGGGGCATTAGGCAAACAACTGCTTGTCTTAAAAGTAATTAGCACGTTATGAACTGTTACATAGGGTCTCAAAATAAATGGCTGCCAAATTAACTGTACGTAACTTTACTTGAAGAAAATGGCACAAATAGAAACGTCAATGCTTGGTAACGATCAAAAGCTCAGGGAAGATCTTGCGCCAGAGAGTAAGTTCTCGGAGCAAGTGATGAGATTTTATAGTCCCAGATATTCCGAGCCTTGTAAGTAAGGAGTTGATTTGCTTTTCCAGGAAATTGGGATGACTCATCTGAGAATTGTGGACGGTATCACGACTCTTCTGCAGCTTACGGGCCTCCTAGCAAAGTGCTGTCAGTTAGCAATGGAGGCGCAGAGACGTGCAGTGTGCCAGTGATTGAATTGTTGTTGAACATTTATTGGGCATGAAACGTGATCTAATAGAAACAGATATTCAAGATAAATTTTGATATTGCAATCCTCTGTCATCAACCGAGGTATGCTATTGGTCTCGGTTCTCTGATAGAATATAATGTAACGTCCCGTGTTTTTTGTATGGCAGATGCGTTGTAGTTATACATTGAGGTCTGGAAACCTGGGGCACTCTGTTTACCCTAGGTCCACCCACTTATATGAAAATAAAAAAAATTAAAAAGGATTCACCTGACCTTTTTTTTTTTGTGATTAATCTGAAATGTTACTGCTTTATTCTTCAGTCACTTTATAGTGACTATTCCTTGTACAGGGACATTGAGTGATTGCTTACGTCTGTACGTTAAAGTGAGGGATCTGCTGCATTTTGGGTTTTTGTAAGTAAAAGGGAACATGTTTCCAGCAGTGCTACCTGAAGCGGAACGCCTCAAGATTTTTGAGGAGGAATCAAACACTCAGAAATCTGAATGGATTATTAGACGTGAAAAGAATAGTTTTTTACATAAATTCAGAAGAAGAAAAGGCTTAATTGATTTTAACTTACAGTACCATCGAATCTATCAGGTTTTTAAATAAAGGGACCGATCTCTTTTCTGGGGGAGAGATGTGACATTTCTGAGATGGGCAGAATGTGAATGGAAGGTGTTGGCTGATGCAGATAGGAGTAGAAAGAAGGCAAAAAATATTAAGAGAAAAATGATTTTTTTGGAGATTTGCGGCTTCCTTGGTGGTGAAGATAACGATGCTGGTCTTCTGGGTTGTGACGCCTTGTAGTTCCTGTGTAACGTTGGTAACCACCTACAAAACTATTGCTTCACAGCCCAGAAGGCAGCAGAAAGCATCCTACTTTCCAAAATGTTCTTACTGTGCTAATTTGTCCTTTGAGCTATTGAACAGGCTGCACTGTTTTATGGTAGAGAGGTTTTTTATATTTTTCTTAGAAATTTGTGTTGTAGTTTTGTCAACTTACAGACTGTTATTCAACTTCAGATCAAACCCATCTTCTGTCCATACTGCTGCGGTCCTACAGTGACCGAATGAGGGAAATGGAGTAGTTGACCCTGCCTACACAATAGGGTCTCTCTGTGCGCTCTCTGCCACGTAAGATGTCTTACCGACTGCAGACTCCTTTCCTGGAGGTGGATCATCGCAAAGACG